CTAAAAGAGATGGCAGAAGCAAGCAAGATCCCAAATTAACACACTGTCAAGGCAAAAGTCTGATAACTATGCTAGGTGGTGCTGTACCCTTATTTTCAAGAACTGTGCAATCAGAATGAAAATCCAGGTGCATGTGTGTGAACACATACTAACCACATGGAAGATGCAGGTTCTGGTGTAATGATCATCCCAACCTTTCTGCCAACAACTATTCCTTTGCTATTACCTAAGAAAGTGGTTGAAGACCCTGTCACTTTTTACCATGAAATCCTTTTAGGTTTGGCTATCTTTGTATCTAAATTCTCCATTCACCCATGCTAACTAGCAAGTGCTACTGTTTTTTTCTTTTTTCCCCCCTTCTAATACCAATACCATGATGGTCAGACACAAATATATCACTCTGGGCAGAAGATTCTTCCTTCTAAATACCAACAGGAATCACAAAGGAACTACCAGAACCCTATACTGGATTCAAAGAAATATAATGGAGCAGGTAAAGGATGTCACTCCCTGCTTTATCACAGACAGGTGGAAGAGGCAAGGCTCTTTGGCCTCTCCACACATTTAGTTCTTCCCACTGCGGTTACTTAGTACACCTTACGCCCAGATGCTAAGACCGTCTTCAAACAATCCCCCTTACCTCAGCTCCCTGGAGGGCAGGATTCTTGGTTTGCTTTTTCTCTGAAATATCCTAGGCACCCAGAAGAATGCCTGATACATAGCAGGTGCTTAATATTAGTGAAATGAATCAGACTTAGCCTAATGTGGCCTTGAAAAATAAGAAATACTAAAACTGGGTAAATGATACTTCTATTTGCATACGATACTTTCCAGCTGATGGAGCTCCTCTGTGTCTTGGCAACTCTAGGAAGTCAGAAAAGTAGAGGGAACTTGGACTCATCTGTGAGTGAGAACAAAACTCTGACTCCAGTAAGTCTGCAGCCAGTGTAGGGTGGTGTTTTGTGAGGCAAGAGAAAAGCAAAATGAGGTTGCCTCTGAGATTTAAACTTTAAGATGAACCTATCATGAATCAGAGCATGGATATACTAGGACAGAAAAGCACCTGTGGAAGACAGATCCTAGAAAACAAAAGAGAAATGGGAAGGAGACTCACTGTGATAATGCCTTCAGAGGCCCTTTCAGGAGGAGGCGGAATCTCAGAAAGCCAAACTTAATTTCCATGTACGTTTACATGTTTCCAGTTCCTTTGGCAAGACCAATCCCATTGTGAACTGCTATATCAAGTGATCTTAGCATTACGCCACTCAACTTTTTATTCTTTATCTTCATTGGTTTTGATTGTTTTCTTGCAAAGGAAACTTCTGATTACAACCTGGCAATGCTAACCAGCCAATGATATGTGGTTATGCCACAATTAAAATAGATTTTAAAGCCCTGACATATAGCTATTCCAAATCTCCCTGCTGTGTTCTCTACATTTGTTTTGCTTTCAGCACACTGGTTTTGTGGCTCAGGGCAGGCTCATAAGCCTGAATAAAATATCCCTGTGGAACATCAGCTCATCACCCTGATGAGTATAGCTTCACCACTGTGCAGGGTGTGCAAGGGAATTTTTAGCAGTCATACTAGCTTTGCTAACAAATAGAATGCCTCATAGAAGCTTTCAAACCTTTAAACTCAAGGACTCTGGTTTAAAACTTTTAGAGTTCAGCTCTATGTTCTTATTTCTTTACCATTCAGAAAATATGACCCAACAAAGAAAAACAAAACATCTCGAACTCTGGCCAGTGGGTGGTGTTTTAAGTGAACATAGCCGAGGAAATCTAGAAACCTGGTTGATATGTCAATGTCATAAGTAAAAATAAAATTAAAACGAATAATCAGTACTAAAACCAAGGTTGTTTCTACTGCAACGTAAGAAAATACCTCAAAAAATGTGAACCTCTCGATCAGAGGCTTTGTGACCATAACTACAAGCTCTTCTAAAAATTAATTTAATTGCACTGCATGTATAATGCTTCCACAAAGACGTCAATAAATGTGGTTCTGGCCCACCCTTCAAAGCAGTGAGGTATGACACTCAGCACTCAGAGTGAGATTTAAGCTTTTAGAATAATGCCAGCTGGATCCTGGAACAAACTCAGCAAATAAGCAATATTCCTAAATTACATCAGAAAATCCCAATTAGAGAACAGAGACCCAAATCCAAAACAATATTTTAAGGAAATTAAACATCTAATCTGAGTCAAGTGGCTTCTTTGGGAAATACCCTGGTGTGAGTCCTATCCGCTTTTTGGCAGAGGCATATTTTGGCAGACACAAGGGTGGTAACTGCCCAATACTCAATGGCTCCTTCAGATTAAAATCAGATGTACACAACATTCTCAATTTAAACTGATTAAACACACAGACTAAACCAGGTAATTACAAATGCATGTGCTGGGGAATGGAAAGAGGAGACAGAATGGGGACTTCTTTTCTAAAGTGTTTTCAAAGATGGGAACAATTTTACAAATAAAAAAGTGGAATTGTGCCAAATACAGAAACAGATGTTTTGGATCATGAAGCTGCTGGGAATTGAGGCTTCTTGCATAGCATTGCCTGGTTCTGATCCAGGATTTAAGGGTTCTGGCTAGTTTTACCTCCAGTTTCATTCTGAACTTGTTTGATCCTATTCATTTACCACCCAACACTGGGAGAAAAACAAACTTCAGCTATAGGAAGGTACAAAGAACAATTTAAATGATCTGGTAGAAAGGAAAAAAAAAACCCTCCATATTTTTATTGCTCTTGACAATGCCTTGCAATAAATGTGTAGGAAACTTCCAAAGTGCATATTCCTTTTTAAGAGCTCATTAGGAAACTGAAAAATCCATTTCTATTATTATATTTCTCTTGGATGGTCCTACGGAATTTCCTGTTGGCTAATCTGTACCTGCAAGACTGATGCCTGACACTTGCCTCTGAACAGTCACAATTCTGGGAACAGTGGAAGGTGTAGGATCCTGTGAGTACTCTAATTTGGATTAAGTTTCTAAACTTTCTTCTGTTCACAAAGGTAGAAACTGCAAATTGTGTCTAACACCCAGAAGTATATCCATAAAGGCAGAGATAAAGGCAGTCAAAGGCTTAATCTAAGTTTACATTTTTCAATGTGTGCTTTTTATGTTCAGGCTACTATTTTCTGATAGTTGTTTTATTTATTTGTTTGATTTTGCTTATTTCTTCCTCTCAGGAGTGATACTAGTGACTGAAATGACCACAATAGTGTAGTAGGTTCACAAATACCATTTCATAACAAATTTCATTTCTAAAGCTCATAGCACTTTATAGTTCTCCCTTACTTGTGGTAATACTGTTCCCTTTTTGGCACAAAGAATATTTTCTTCCCCATCTGAAAAATGAGAACAAGACAACTGACTAAAGTCAGGCTGTGACTCCGATGAAGAATTTGAGGCTGAACACAAACCTCCCTTTGGCTAAATATACCAAATAAAAGGCTATATATGTAAATAGAGATGATAGATTAAAGGTTTCAAATGCCAAAGCTGCATATCACAGATTTTTGATACTTCGTTTCCTATCAGCAATTTTCTTTGTCCCTAAGAAAAAAGTTATTTCCTTTATCTTGTTACTTTAGATACACCAGAGAATGGCCTTTCTGTCCTGCTGGCAAAATATATCCCTTCAGGTTCTTACTGTTGAAAAATCTGTTTCTCAGAGACAAAATGTTTTCTTCTGAATTACTTTAAGTCTCTCCAGGTCTTACACACCTATAATACTGCAGAAATCCTTGCACAAAATTGATGTTCATTAAATTTAAGTGGAATAATTGTAAGTAGTAATGAGAACTCTTAAAACATTAAAAAGAAACTCTACAGAGGGCAACACATTGACTTAAATTCACACTAAAATCACATCTTATACTTGCATTGCACTTGACAGTTTAAAACTTTCCCATACATTTTGCAGCTTAGGAAACTGAGGCCCCAAGAACAAATAACTTCCACAGTAAAAAAAACTTGTCAAAAGTTACAAATACATGAAATTACATAGCTACATTTTGATTCGCCCAGGTGTTTGGACTGCAGATAAAATACTCTTCCAAAATGCCACCCATGTCAAGTCCAGATCTTTTCTTAGATCCTGCTGTGGCAGGAACAGGTTAGAAGGGCACTTCCCTCCTGAAAGTGGACAGAGGTTGGACCAGGAAGTTGGAAGTACCAAAGACAAGGTGTCATGGTATGCAATGGAAATGGCTTCAGAGGTAGGCCAACCTGTGTTTCATTTCCAATTTCATCACTTAGTGGCTTCAGAACTACAAGCAAGTTACTTAGCCTGTGGGAGCAACAGCAGCTGTAACGCAGGAACAATACCTGCAGGGTTACTCATGATTGTACTGGTGCTGAGCATAGCGCCTAATGTTCAGCAGGCACTGAGTGAATGGCACATACTCACACCACCTCCTCCTGTTGACACTGGCTGCAAGAACGCAAGAGCAGATACAATCCTTGCTCCAGACCCAGCACCTGACAACTCTTAGAATTAGTGAGTGCCCGGTCCTTCCGAAATTAAGTGCCTTCACCCACAGGCACTGACAGCTACAGGAAAAGATCAATAGTCACGTCACTTACACTTCATTAGCGACCAATTACTTTTTTCCCATCCTCACTGTCCTCAGACTTTCTGAAGATTCACAACTACTGATCCCTTCCCCATTCCTCCTTTTTAAATGCTCCTTGTTGACATTCCCTCTAATTTTGGTTTCCGAGATATTATTTTCTCTAACACCATAACTACCTTTTCTGTTCATTCATTTCCCACTAAATATTTGGAAGGGAGTGGGGGGAGCTGCCATAAAGAAATATCCTTTCCTCCCTACGCTCTCTCTTGTCAGATCTGGTGGTTTCAACTATCAGCCGTAAGAAACGGCTCTCCAACCTGTTTCTCCACCCTCACCTCCTTCCTGGGCTGTGCTCTCATGCTTTCCACTGCCTGTTCTGTATGCAGCACCATTTACGTGCTCCTCTAAAGCAGTA